TTTTAAAGTAATTAAAGCATAGAATAGTTATATTGGTAAACAATTTTAATAGCATCTATAAAAATCGTAATTGAGGACGAAGATTCACGACATGCTATGGAATACAATATATCACCGTGGTCATCGTTATGATGTTCGTGCTGCCGATCGAGAGGCTGTTCAGGTGGAACAGAAGCTTATGCAATCTGACGGTGAAGCTACTGTTGCTAGTTTAACTGATGGTACCATTCGTCAACAAAACTTCAATGTAACAAAAATTCCATCAAAGCAAAAAGCAAAAAGAGCAAAGATTTCCTCCAACTAATTGATGACAATTATTAAATCACTGTGATGATGCTAATTTGAAATTTTATGATCTTTGGTACTTCTTCACTACTTTAAATTTAGTTAGCTTAAAAGACGAAGGGACATCCGTATAATCGTGTGAAATGCAATCAGTTACTCATTTCCTTAATAATATCTTCTTTTAATTCAAATTTCATTGTGTAATTTAGGTTTTTCTGAGATAATTTGAAGTAGTGCCAAATTGCAGTAGCGAATCGTTTCAGTAAATTTCGTTTTACCGACGAAATGTGTATTTTGAATTTATATATTTTTTAATTTATATTTTTTGTAATCTTTGATTTCAACATATTCTTGTGTTATTTTTTTGATATTGTAGCAACTTGTTTGGATTTTTTTCCTGTAATTCCCTATTGTCATTTTATGTGTCATCCATTATATATTATCAATGTATTTTTAATGGAATTAAAAATCATATTGATTTCGCACCCAAATATTTCAACAAGATATTGTCTGTGGATAATGTCTAATACGTTTTAAAGTTGATTTTAAATTCACTGTAAGAAGAGTGAAGCATTTCACAAAATGACGTGTAGAACAAAAAAATGGTTTTGCGTATATTACTTTCTGCGTATATTATGCTTGTCTATATTTCACAATTTTTTTTTCAAGCAATTTGGCGGCAAGGTTATTTCTGTTGTAATCACTAATCTTTATCGGTTTATACGGTCATTCCAAAGTTAACATATCAGGTTCATTTTAACTAAGTAAAGATAAGTTTAAATTATTGGCTGGTTTAAAAAAACAAGCAAACAAACACCACTTTAGCCAACATTTTAATTAAAAGCACTTTTTCTGAGAAGAATTTCATCTTCAGAAATATATAATTCAATTCAATATTTAATCTGTGATTTATGAATAAACAATGAAGCAAACGACTAATTAAATTGGAAGTCAGGCATAATTGGCTAAGCCCTTCTAATTGCTAGTAAAGTTTCCGTAAAACTGCGACAAACTATCATCTTCATTTGTCCCAAAAATTGTCCCCCTGTTTTATTTTCTAATTTTCGTATCAAAAAAAAACGACTGAAAGATGATTATGATCAAAATTTAATTATACTTACCCTTTCATGAACATAACATCAAATGTTAAATGGTACAAAAGGTAGAGTAGTTCTTGTAAAACTGTCCTGACCACTTATCTGCCACTTTTGGAGAGATTACGCAAGTAACTTGATAAGTCATTAAGACAGGATAATTCTCCCTAGAGTGTTAAAGCTTTTGAAAGTTATGATTGGAACACTTCCATGAAATTGATAAAGTTGATAAAATCAGATCACTATTCGATTTGATTTATACGAAGAAATATGAAAAACAAAAATCGTAATGATGAGAGAGTAAATAAAAACAATCCTTTTTCTGCAGCTTATTGCTATCAGACTTGATATCACTAGCAATATATCCCTTGAATTAGAAACAGAAATCTGAAAAGGAGAAATAGCGTAAACGACACACTTGCGCAATCATATTATGCCTTAGTCATACAAATAGAGCCACAATCATCGAGTATGAATGCAAATGTGAAACTATCTTGTGTAATGTCACAATGGCAACATGGAACATATCCATTATATCTTTCCGATTTCTCTTATCACCCCTAACTATTCGATGTCTACTGGGAATTACTTTTGAAGAACTCATTAATCTGAAAAAGAGACAGTATATTCCATTGTTATCAAAATTAACTACTATAATGCGTTTTGGAGAGCTGACAGAATAACATTCCAAATAGATATCACATTTCAACTTCATAAGAGACACTCACGATATCGGTTATCAAAAACAGATGCCTTTCTTTCATTCCAAACCGTTTTGCATAGCAAATAAACAAACGATGGTACTTTTTTCGATTGCTAAGAATGCCAAAAATTAATTCTACAGACATTATCCAAATGTTTGAACTTTCATATATATATATATATATATATATATATATATATAT